ATTTTAGATCAATGACGCAGTAGAAATTCCTGGCCCGCCCCCATCCAAGCTTACGGCATGAAATACGTTTTTGTCATAAAAATATTCGACTAGAAATAAATATGTTTTGCTAATCAAACCTAATATCATTTTTCTTGCTAATAAAATAATATAAAACTCGTGCGAGTACTATTTTACATCAATGACGCAGTAGAAATTCCTGGCCTGTCCATTTACAATCTTTTGTTTACGTAACTAATTCGATTTGTATCAAAAAACAATAATCGCACTTAAAGTTTCTAATTTAGCTCCAGTTTCTAATTATCTGCTTAGAATACTACCAAATTAAGTTTAAAATAAGTTGGATTAAGGCACTCTTACCACGAAAACCACATATGTTCAACCTCTTTCACCTCCTCCGTGTCCCGATCTTACAGATCTCAACGTGCATTTTCACCTCGTGTTTCACCAATGTCAATCATGACGCGGTCCACCAATGGCATTCGTAACACTAAATTCCGATCATACCTAACTCACCAAAAACAAATGTACTGTGCCCATAGGCCCAGCACAAAAAGTTCGCTAAAGTTCGCTTATTAAATTTATAATAATTTTAAGGTTTTTGAGGCAGTTCATCTAGTTCATTAAAATAATATATATATTAATAAAATCTTATACGTATCGACATTCGACAAATGTGAAAAGAACTGGTGCATTATGAGGTGACACTGCACAGCCTAAAAAGACAGCTTATCACGATATTCCATTTTATCTCACTGCAAATGTTTGAATCGATACGTTAGGCTGAATCTAGCTCTTCGAAACTTATTGGCAAACCCATTTGTTTGTTCTAGCATAAATTAGTTATTATAAAATAACTAGCTTTTAACTCGCGCCCTGATTGGTCGAAATGCCATTATAATAATATTATAATAATAATAAACTCTTTATTTACTGAGGGTAGCACTAAATAGCAATATGCTAACAAACCTGTGGCCCTCTAATATATGAACTATGAAGATATGTGTATTAAAAACTATAAAATTTAGTTGAGAGAATCTTTCCATTCGACGCAATTAATTAATTAATTATCTCTACGTCATTTTTAACTTCTGTGTATCTTCCGTGTTAACCGGCTTTTAAGTATTTCTATTGACTAAAAAGTAAACAAGGTAACACGGACTTCGTTATAATGCAAATGAAATCTAAGTATGGTATCTTGCTGTTTATTTGTAAGGCATTAGGAAGCTATAAAAGACGGTGTTCCTTCGAGGTTTACCTAAATGATATCTTACTCTTTATTTTACGAATTCGTACCTTTACAGAAGTGAAAAACTGAAACCAGGAAAAGCAGCTGAAACATCCACTTCATTGTTTGTTTCCTCTCATGAGACGACATTGTTTGCTCGAACAAGGTGGCCCCGTTCTGATTTGTGTAGTTTGAACCATGGTCAATAGAAATAGAATATCGCTGGGGTCAAGATATAATATGCCGCTTTGACAAGGAAGTGGCACTGCTTGCCAATTTTTTTAAACAATATTTGCATTCATTCTGATGAATACTATCACTAGTTATAGCCGAAACGTAATTTTTTTCAAATTCTACGCATTTTATCCGTAATCTTACATATAATTAATCATGTCTGAACGCAGAAGCCTAAAAGATAGTTAGACAAGGTCTGATACGTAATGACAATAGAGAAATTGTGAAAACAAGTGGTGTATTATGAGGTGACATCGCAGAGCCTAAAAAGACAGCTTATCGCGATATTCCACTTATCTAACTACAAATGTTTGGAATAGAATCGATACGTTAATCTGATTTTAGCTCTTGGCAACTTAGTGGCAAACCCATTAGTTTGTTCTAGCATGTTTGAATCGATACGTTAAGCTGAATCTATCTCTTCAAAAGTTATTGGCAAACCCATTTGTTTGCATAAATTAGTTATTATTAAATAACTAGCTTCTAACTCGCGCCCTGATTGGTGGAAATGGAATTTTAGGTGAGAGAATCTAAAACTCTCATGTTATTCTTCCTCTTTGAAATTTTATATGGAAAATGAATTATGACAGTGTTTTTGGTTCATTCGTTCATTAATCAGATATGCACTTGCTAATTCATACAAGAGATATGGAATAGCTAGTGAGCTTTCTGTTTTCGATGATCTGATAAAAACACTTGGGATGCTAAGAGAACACTTGAGAAATTGGAAACCACTCCTCTTCATGTCGCAGTTCTCTCATGCATATTTTCAGCATCTCGCGTGTCTAGATCAGAGTATTTAAAAGGAAAACTGTTTTATATTTCTTAAATTGAAAAAAACTAGGTTTCGTTACCTGGTCAAACGATGTAAAGTACACAGTCTATAGAAGAGCATATTTATATCTAATACTTACTGTCATTTTCGCTTTAAAACAGTCTTACTAGTACGTCATGATTTTTAATTTCCGTGTAATTTGCGTGTTAACCGACTTTCAAGTATTTCTATTGACTAAAACGTGCACAATGCAAGGTAACACGGACTTGGTATCATGCCAACCAATTCTATGTATATCATCTTGCTGTTTGTTTGTCGGACAGGGATCAGGAAGCTATAAAAGTGATGATTGGGGGTGTTTTAACTAATATCTTACTCTTCATTTTAAGAAGTTGTACCTTTACAGAATTGAAAAACTGAAACCAAGAACAGAAGCTGAAACATCCTCTTTATTGTTTGTTTCCTTACATACGACGACATTGTTTGCTTGGACAAGACGCGACTGTTCTGATTTGTCACAAAGCGATCTAGGGTGTATAATTACAGTACTTCAACTCGGTTATGCTATTTGAACCATTGTCAGTGGAAATTGAATAGCACTGGGGTCATGTTTTCATATGCGTTGTCAAGAGGAAAGGGATTTTCTATTATTTTTGGCCTCGATTTTCAGTACAGGGAGGAATTGTGTTGTTTTCAAGTGTGAAACCACATAACAGCCGATTGATTGCTTCGGGATTCTTGAGTTCTTGTTGATTATTAGTAAAACGCAATAAGGGTAGGAAAATGGACCAAAACAAGGCTAAACTGCTGATTAAAACGCTTTTAATGCTAGATCCGCTTCCTATGCTGTTGTATTACAGTATAGTCTTGTGCAATCCCTTTTGTATTTTCCTCATTTGTTAATATTTGACATTTTTTTTCGTGGGATGTTTGGACAATCCGCCATTTTAATCAGGGTTCAGAAATGTGTTTGTTTATTTATTTAATACTTTTTGGTAGCAAGAGAGATTGTTAATCAACACTAGGAATGTTCATTGAATGACAATTTGGCTTCAAGCATCTGTCAATTTTATAATTCGTTGTTCTATCAAACCTCATATCAATCCACTTGAACGAATCAGATTAGATCTAGAAGACAAATCAATTATTCCTCCATTTTTAATCAACGTTGAATGCGCTATAATTTCTTTAGATCTTCTCTAGATGTAAAATAGTGTAATTTTCTTCCCCGGGTATTGTTATTCATGAGATGGTAATGAGGAATGGGGAATTGCGATGGACTGGGACACGCCTACAGTAGGCCAGGGCAAATGTTTGTGGGATCCAATTCAAACCCGGTCTTCCCATGGGAGGGAGGGTGGGGCGCAATCAATGTTTAGCAAGCGGCTGCATCGAGTAGAGTGACACTAGGACCAGGTGGAGTCCCTTTTGTTATCTCATTTGCATAATCCCCAGGGAATCACTTTACATATGCAAATTAAGTTTGCATAGAGGTTCAACTGTATTTTTATTTATAAGACATTCAAAGAAATTACTCGATTCTGATTGGACGAGAGGAATACAATTAAATCCCATTTTGTATTTTGTAGAGTTTCAATTAAGTTGCTCAATTGAGAGTATTATGAACAAAAAAAATGCACAATCTTCTCGTACAATTAATTGGAAATTTATAGATACTCGTGATGCTTTGGAAGTTCTCAAATTGGACCCGCCTAAAGGCTCGTCCAATTTTAGAAAATTTAAATTAAAAAAAGTTAAAAAAGTGAAATTCACTACATTTTCTATCTTATTGAATTATCTGTACTTATTCTTAAGTGGGAGAGTAGTAAGGTTGAAAACAAAGTCGAGCCGTGAGAAGAAAACGATGTATTCATTTCGATTTAATTTTTTCACTGCATGGTTTTCACTATGCGGGACATTGTCTTCATCTTTAATTTCAAAAAAAAAAAAAGAATTCATGTTTTTTTTCCTTCGATTTCATTTTCACCATTAAGTTTCATCTATATTAATTGGGTTTCCTGTACCTTTTTGGGAGATCCGTAATTATGCATTATCTATGTTTATGTTAAGGTGTGACTGTTGTGATTTTTTTGTTTTGTTTTCTAAATAAAGATATGTTTAATGCAATTATTTTCTTTATTTATTGAGTAGGACCATACCTCCAGCCATCGAGTGCTGAAGCGCAGTATGGCAGCGGAAAGCATTTACGGCTACGCCGGAGATTTCGGCCCCGACACCGCTATCCAGTGACTAATCGAGAAGTTCAGCAGAAGACTAAGAGAGAAGTTAGTCGGCTCCTAGACCGTAAATGATCAACCCCTTGCTATGATTAGCACTGTTTGATGAATCTGTCTAGTGGCTACCTTCCTAATACTTGCTTAGTCCGTGTTGGAGGTGGTTTCAAACCTGTCTTGAAAAACCAGACATGCGCAAAAGCTCAACATCGAATTTAATATGAAATTTTTATCTTTTATACCATAGTTAATGCTCCATCGAATTCTTTATCATATGACCTATGAGTTTTATTAAATGTGGTTTTGCTTAAAGTGTTGCGAAGAGAGCGTCTTAAACGCAACATACCCCTTAAGGTATCCAGTAACCTTAACTTTGCCACACACCCGAGACATCCACAGAAGCTAAGGCGTCGCATGCACGTTAGATAGAACTAACGGTAATGCACGGATTACGCAGGGTAATATTCTAGCACGAAGGCATCAGGGAAGAGAGTGATCGGCCCACAGACCGTATCTACAGCTAATGCCTTGCACTATCTAATATATAACTCTTATTAACCGAGTGCGAGGTCCGCACCGTAAGTTATGGACCGAGTTTTTTCCACTGCCTTATGGCCCAAGCGCGTAGCGCGCCGGCCATAAAAAAGTGAAAAAAACGAGGATCCATAACTTACGGTACGGACCAAGCAAACGAGGTTAATAAGATAGTTATCTCTTATATGGCAAGGCAATGAGATTAAAAAGAGGCGAAGTAAAAAAAAGTAAAGTTGACAGCGCATGTCAAATGAGAACTGCATTGCAAGGGCTTCCTGTACGTGCCAAAAGTCATGTAGTGTTTGAGGCGCTCAAAAGGCGAAGTTTTAGTTTACTTTGAAAGAATTTAGCTATAGTTTTCTGAAATACTAGTTAACAAAAGTGAGGCTTTCTTTTGCAAAACATGTAAATGCAAAGCAAAAAAGGCATCAAAAGAAGACCTCGAGAACTCAACATGAGATTGAGAAGAAAACTGTCGTACTTCAAACTTCAAGATCTTCACAACCAAGATGAAAAATACTACAGCCTTCCGTTTGTTTCCCTGCCTTTTATTGTGAAAAACACTCAAAAACTCTCTCCAGAAATGAATGAGAAGCTTTGAAAAATTACGGCTCGCTGAACATGGACGGCAGTTTTCGTCATTTTTCAACGTTTTGACTGTTAGAAGCAGGCCGCCATATGCACAATGGCTGAATTCATGAAGACGGCACACTTTCGACTCAATTAAAAAAGGTACTGCCAACTCTCCTGTCCAAAAATGCATTCAAATTCAAGTGTGGATGAAATATTCCTGAAAATATGGAAATACTTCAAGAGCGGATGAGCCTAGAAAACTACATAAAACGTTAACGAAAGAAACTACCGGCTTTTTCATCCCATCGATTAAGATAAGTTCAAAGTTAACGTTGTAAGATTACTGAAGTAACAAATTTACGTTAATTCTACTTGTAAACCTATCTTTATTTCATTTACTGAATTAGCCGCTATTCACCACTATTGTATGAAAGAGTGAACCATTTCATTTTTCGGTCCGTACCGTAGTAAGTTATGGACCGCAAATGGACCAATCATAGCGCGTGAAATTACCTTGCCATATAAAAAGCACAATTATTTAATGCATCGCATGTTGGTACATCTGTACCGCACTTTCTTTCGTTATCGCTCAACAGATTGTGACACAAGCTTCAAGAAACATTGCCGTATACCAGCAGCACCTTTCACCAAAACCTGCATATTCAAAACGATGAATACTGTTGACTTATTATTCATACATCTAAGGCCCTGGATAAACGAGGAAACATGTTTACAGCGCGCATATTGATTGTTTTAACGGCGGCCATGTTGGAGGAACTTAACAAAAGAATTGTCAATGAATTCTTTTGTTATATCCTCCAACGTGGCCGCCGTGTCTTTTGTTCTTTAATTCTCTTGGGAATGGTTGAAAACCATCAATTTCCTCCATGTTTCCAAATTTAGCCACATGCGAAACATTGCTGCTGTGCGGCAGAAACATTTTATGCTTTCAATACGCATGGAAACGTGGGATACTATTTCAGTGAAGGAGAATATTGAGCATATTATTGTATAATTCATAGGTTGTTGCCTACTAATTGCGAAAAAAACACCCAGGAGGCCACTGGAATCTAAAAAAAATGGGGTTCCCCGTGAATCTAAGCGAGATAATAAACGTTAAACACCGATGACGTAAGCAATCGTATTTCAAATTGTTTTGATCGATTTTATCTGAAACTTGTTTAAAAAAACAACTATATCTCATGAAAAACATTTTTTTGACCAAATTTTGCCCTCAAAAATGAAAAATGTTTCACTGAAGGGGTGCTGAATGTTTGCTGAAATAAGCATTCACATTTTGTAACAAGAATTTAATTAAGTATTGTTATTAGCGGAGTCCCATACTTAAGAAAAAATGGTAAACCATCGAGTTGATTTTTCATGACTTGGCTGACGTCACTTCCGTCCGTCCGTCCGTCCGTGTAAGCAAGAATCCCGATTGGCTGGTTAGATTATCTTTCTTTTTTTTTTTGGCGGGAATATCGACGCGTTGCAACATCCAGGTACACATAAAGGTAAATCCGGCTATTAAACTTTTGTAAAATACGTTTTTACACCTGTTATTACGTATAGAAATACCGAAAGATAACAAGACAATTTTTTATTCAAGCTTATATTTATATTTATATTTACTCTATTTACGATGGAACCCCTTTCCGAAATCGATATGTCGAAAGAAAGCTCAGAGGAGAATGAAGCCAAAAGAAAGGCCAGAAGTAAAAGAGTTTTTTCGGAAGAGGAAAAACTCTGGAGGCGTGAGAAAGAAAGGCAAAGACGAAGGAATCTCACCAAAGAAAAGCGGCAAGCAGAGAGAGAGAGAAAACGCAAATCCAGGCGGGACTTCGATTATGAACAAGGAGAACATGATCGTGAACGAAAAAGGAATATGAGGCAAAACTTGACGGATGAACCAAGAGAAAATGAGCGTGAAAGACAAAGGAATATGAGGCAAAACTTGACGGATGAACAAAGAGAAAATGAGCGTGAAAGACAAAGGAATTTGAAGCAAAACTACTAGCTAAGGCGACTCTCAGATGCACAGAAAAAATCGCTTTAGGGCAAGTTATAGACCAAAGACAATTAAAAAAACTTTCATGTATTCAAAGATGGATTAAGAAGTGTTCTCCAAGAATTCAGGTGTGCGTTGTTTAGCAAACAATCGTATATTATTATTTTTTGACAAGCATTTTTTCTCGACGAATCGACAAATCAAAGACTTTCCCTCAAGACTTTTAATATTTCTGTAGATATGCTTAATCTATTTTAATGCTGGAGGAAATATAACATGAAGAGCATATTACAACAAATATTCGTCCTTTGTTTAGCTTTGTAAATCATTAACAATTCGGTTGTTTTTAACCAACTATSATATGTTTTTCGTTCAAGAAAAATTCAGCTTTGCTTGCCTCCTATCGCGGGTCCCATCGGCAAAACAAAGCTGAAGACTTTCATTCAACAATTTTATATCTTTCTACAGATAATTTATTTATATATTGAATGAAATGTAAAATTACACCAAACATTCAACTGTTTATTAAGTTGTTC